AACCCCTGGGCCGACTCCAGCCCGTTGTGGCTTCCTGCAATTTACAGCCCTTCCCGGGGGGGAAGAGGAGGCAGGAACCCGCCTGGCTCGGGGCTGGTTTTGACCCTTTCGCCACCAGCGGAGAAGGTGCTGAAGGACTCTTCTCCATCCTTCTCCCTCACCGGCCGGGCCAGGATCCTGGGGAAGGGGATCGTGGTGGGCTCCTTCTCCTGAGCTGTGCCCAGCATCTTCGGGGGGGATGTAGAAGGAGAAACTGCCGGAGTGGACATGGTTTCCATGTGCCATTCCTGGTGCCTCATGTGTGTGGGGGGACAGAGAGACTCAGTCCTGCCTGGGAGGAGGCAGAGATCGCTGCTGCAGATCCCGAAATGCCAGCTGGGCTCCCGTAAGGAGGAGGAGAGCTGGCAGAGGTGAACTGGAGCTGCTGAGGAAGGAGGGTTAATGCTGGCTGGGCAGAGGCAGGGCTCCGGGGTGTGACGGCTGTGGCTGGGGCAGGGGGGTCATGCTGGTAGGGAGGGCAAAGGACAGGCTGCCGCTGACGGAGCTGGGCTGGCAGGGGTTAACGGGGTGGCTCTTCCTCTTCCTCACCCTCTATATGAGGCTCCTGCCGGCTCTGGGCTCAGTTTGCTGCTGGTGGCCAGAGGGGCTGGAGCTGACTGAGACAAGAGCATCCCCACATCCCATCCCAGCATCCCTGCATCCCATCCCTGCATCCCATCCCTGCATCCCTGTGTGGGCTCAGGTGAGCAAGAGCATCCTCCACCCGCTGAGCCCAGCGGCTTGGCACGGATCCTGGCAGTGGGGCTGGGCTGGGGAGCGTGCAGGCGCGCTGGCGTGGGCAGTCGCATCCTGGGCACACTGGCTCAGCCAGGGCAACGCCGGCGGGTGATGGGACCATGTGTCGGGGCCACCTTCCCTTGAACCACTGCGAAGTTCTGCCCCGCACTGGGGGACGCTGGGGAGCTCATCCCTTGGGAGCACAGGAGCAGACAAACCGCGTGCCTCAGTTTCCCCACCTGTACACCAGGGGTGGATGCGGTGTTGGAGCCCGTGGGCTGTGTGTGTGGAGGTGCGTGGGCAGAGGGCTCCCGGGCTGTTTGCTCTCTAGCGAGCCCTGCTCTGCCCGGCCCCACGTCCCTGCTGTCACCTGGGGAGGCTGCGGGGCTGGCTCAGCCACTGGCGATGGGGTGGCTCTTCACAGCTGTTTGAGCCTCTTCCGCTCAATGAAACCATCTGCTTTGGGCATTTACAGTCTCCGGGTCAGGCTCCAGACCCCCTTTCCCAGCACCCACAACCACCACTGGATTCACGGCCCCTGTCCCGCATGGATGCTCGGTTATAGCTGGGCGA